AAAAGCTTTCTTCCACCTTCATTCTCTGCTTTTACTGCCTCACCTCCGGCCCTCTGATAATAACTACCAGATCTCCCTCACGGCTCACAAACTACACCGTGGAAACAAAGAGAGAGAGTCAGCGCCACGACTTACATAATTCTTTATGGTCATATGGTCACCATCTCCTCAGCGTCTCCGCACATCACAGTTTATTTACAGGAGTATAAATGTCTCTTTATGCCGGCAGCTGTGAACGTGACCTTCTGTCTGCTCTTTGTAGTGACAGGATTACAAGAAGAAAGATAAAGAGATTGAACTTTCACTAGCTCTGAATACTATAACTCAGGTGGGTCCAATACTGCCTCTACACTCGTGAACCTACAAACTGTTTGCATGCTCGGACTCCTGCTATCATCATGATAGAGTAAGGTAGTCACATTTTCAATACTTTGCTACTTCATTCATACCACATGTTTCATAGCTATACAATCTGAGATCAGTGATCGAGTGTTTTTAAAAGTACAGAAGCTTGTGTAAAAAACTACAAATCTTGAGTCATATTTAAACGAAGGTGGCCATGACCACTACATCACCCAAAAAGTTGCAAACAGGTTAAATCTGAGGAGTGATAAAGTCTCATTAGGTGTCCATGGAGACGGAGGTAGAGAAATGAGGGTCAACAGTAGAAGACATCGTCTCAGAGTAACCCAGGGGCACAGAAAAAGGTCACCAACTTGTTTGTCATCAAACCTGAGCAGCTGAAGAAGTTCTTTCCTAAAACCCAGCTGGAGGACCTGAAAAGACCTGAAAAGACCTGAAAACATTGAGCTACTTATCAGCCCGCGTGAAGGTACTTCTTAGGACTTTCCCCATAAAGAGAGGAGATCGTCGGGCACCTCGTCTTGTGGGGCAACCCGTGAGGAAAAGCTGGAGCTCACCCAGATCTCTTTGAGGTTGTGGAAATGGCAGCACACAAGTCCTAAGCACACTTTCCATGAGAAACGCCCGCAGTGAAATATGGAAAGATCATCGATGTGCAAGATGAAACCAAGAGGACAGACAGTTAATAGACAGAGAGCAGAGGAGGTGACACTGTATAAATTGCCCAAACATGTTGGCAACCGAAACATTGCCAATGTATCAGTGTTTTAGGCAGTGTGCAGGAATTTGCCTGCAAATTTTGGTAATTGTAAAGCAAGACATTAGTGAAAACGAGTACCTAGGAGGACTTCTATTTTTGTTGCCGTAGCATCAAATAGGGATGGATATCATTTCATTTTTACTAGTTTTATATGAATGTTTGAATTCTGGTGGTGTGACAACACTAAGATAAAGACTCTTCCCTCTCAGCAGCAGTGAATAAATTCCTCCTGTCTCATCCTGGTCCAGCTCTCCTCAGAGGATTTAGTGCAGCTGTCCTCTCTGATTCTCCCTGAATGGCATTTTACAGTCTCTTAGGCCAGTGATTGAAGCCAGCAGTGGTTAAATAGTGATCCTCTTCTCTGTTCCCTCACCTGAGTGTGTTTAGGCACAGCCAGACTCTGCAGCAGACTGACTGTCCTCTTCAGAGTCTTTACGGAGCACTACAGCAGAGCAGCAGCACTCTTTTATTGTCAGTGAGTCATCATAATGCAGTGCAGTATAATAAGAAGTTATCTCTGAATAATCAGCCTTCTAAAGATCATTTATGAATGAGTAGAGCTGCTCTCCGTCCTATGGTGGAGTCAGTGAAATCAGTTTAACATCTTTTCTGTTTTGGGGCCTTTAGATTTCTTTCTGCAGCTCTTCCCTGGAATTAAAACATTTGTATTTGTTAAGATCAGTCTGTAAATCATTTAAAACTACAACACTACGTGTCCGATGTCCTCACCACATAGACCGTTTGGTGCATGTCGTCTTCACTCTCTCTTCCTCATGTGTCCTGTCCTTTGGAATTTTTTGTCAGTAAAGACAAACAACTAGAGAGGCATTGATCAACACTGCTACCAGATACGAATGAGTCCAATACTGACTGAAATAGATGAGCAGATATCAGTGAGAGTCAGAGCAGTCATGGGCAGATCCATTCAGTTCTGTCTCTACATACGTGTCCTATGTCATGCAACAGCAGCATGGACGGCCATTTTTCCTGAAAGAAAGAGGGAGAGAAAGTGATAGATCTTTAATTCTTTAATAGATTTTTAATTTTGCTACACCAACACAGTCTAAGGCTACTCTCAAAATCTGTGTTCATTGCTTAAGAGGTTTTAACAGAAGCCGTATTATCCGCAAATATCTCCTCCAATCCAAACCAATCAGACCTGGTAATAAAAACCAGTCAAACACAAACTAAAGCAGGTTCATGTGACTACTCATAGTTTATCGACTTATCCATCAATCTCTTTTATGCACCTCAGATTCACTTTTTATTACCAACGTTTTCAGAAGACATCCACTCTGTGAACCAGCAGCTCAAACAATGTGTGACGTGGGCATTTACTCCTGCATGAACATCAGGGGCAGTCAAAAAACTGCAGACTAACTGGCTATTGTTGCTCTTTCTGCTGGTTGATAGCCTTTAAGATAGAAGGTTACTTAAATGACTAGCTTTAATGCAACTTGTTAATTAAATGTTGGAAATCTGCAATGCCGTCAGGATCAGCTGATACCCAAAGACTTGGTTTTGGGACAGTTAAGGATGAATGAAATCAGAGCGATGAATCCTTTTTGAATCTACTCTTTGTCTGCAACCAAGCAATTCATTACACACCGCTGTTATCTTGCAAACAGGAGGGGGAATCAGGGACGATTGGGCAGATAACTTTACTGGTCACAGGCTGCAGCATCTTCCAAGTTCAAACCCTTTTGTTATTCAGTGAAGAGTACAGCAGGAGATGTCTTCCATCAGGATACTGTAGTTTGTCTGATCTCTGATCTTTTCTTGTTTTACAGAGGAATCTTCTGGAGGAGGATTCTGATGAGGAGGAAGACTTCTTTCTGTGAGTTTGTGTGAAGATGTTTTCTCCTCCCACACATTTTAACAAGACATCAGAGACAGAATATTGATATTGATTGTTGTAGCCAGAGCTGGACATTGTTGTTACTGTTAATTATTAGCGTTCATTTTTTAAATAGATTTTTAACAAGGACATTAGTTTCTTGTTCTTTAGAGAGCTTCATGATGGTACTTCATGAACCCCACGAGAGAGAAGACAGTGGTGATATATCAAAATGTTTGAATCATTTGTAGTTTATTTAAAGACAGACACATGTGTAGTTTAGAGTTTTTAAGTCATCATTCTCTTAAGAACTCACATCTATTGACTTTGTAAAAATATTATGTTACAGTTTAAAAAAGTGACCATGTTAATTGGCGACTGTTAGTCGATGTTGCTTTGTTAATTTTTTTATTGTAATGTCTAAAATACCAGTCATATACGTCTGTAACTACAAAACCCACAGACACTCAGCTGAAAGTCGGCAGTTAACATGGTCACTCTTCAAACCGTAACACCGGTTAACGTTAAAGTTAACTTCAGTTCATAATTAACAGAATGAACTGCTCAAGTTAAATTCTTTATTGACTGTGCCCATTTCTGGTTGTAGCACGGTAAACTGAGTCCAAACAAGTTGTTAAGAATACTTGTTTTTTTTCATCATATATTTTTATTAACGTTTTTCAGTGCAAGATAAAATGACAAACAGAACAATGAAACAAACCGGCTCAGACACATGACCCAGAAGAGTAATCACTAAAAAGGTGGTCAGAAAGCAGTAATATGGCCCATACATCTAATCTTAGTCCCCAGTTTATTAACCACCACTTTACAGGAAGGCAGCATCAACAAGGTTTATAAAGAAAAGGTGAGGTTTCAGGAAGATTAGCGTTACAACAAGGAGACAAAATGAGAAGCTTAAGACCTCTTTGGTATCCATGTAATGTTGAAGATCACAATATAGGACCAGAATGTACTAAATATAGGTGTTAGAGTACTTTTTAAATGGTTAACCATGTTTGCCTTGCAGGAGGGGGCCCTCTGGACCCAGATTTGGACCTCAGAACGACAAACTGAAGCAGTAAGTACCAACACCTTCCTGACTCACACGCGGGGCTCAGAGGGGTTAAGGCAGAGCGCTGAGCTTTGGTGCTGCTCTTATGTAACTTTTCATGTTTACCAGAAGCTGCTGGTTTTTAACGGATTGTGTAAGAGAGACTTTTCATGTGCACGTTATTGTGAAACCTCACCAGGATGACCCGGTCCCTCTGCAGAGGTCTGTCTTTAAATGAACATGCGGGGAGACAGGAGGTTGTTGTTGTTGTTGTTGTTATTGTTGTGAAAACATGAAACCGGGGGCCATCATCTCTCCGGACCTGAACCTGAACCCTGAGCTTATACCCTCACTCTGTTTACGTGTGTGTGTGTGTTTGTGTGCGTGTGGTCACCATACTTCATGTTGGTGTGTTTGTCATGTTTATATTATCGCCCTCAGTGTGCAACGTTCTTGCAGTCTTAGCCCTAAACAACCAGTGAAACATGTCTGGAAAATATGAGAACACACATTCCTTTGTGTTGTTTCTCACTTATGAGCTCACTGTTTGTTTTATTTTGCTGCAAACACCCCCCTCCTGCATCCAACCAGAGCTACTGCAGGGAATTCTTTAGAAATCAGGGTGGCTAAAAGGTCATCTGGACCTGGCTTGTTATGCTTAAGAACAAGCACAGTGAATAAAGCTCTGATCAGGTGCACACCTTTACAGTGAGGCGGTTGGCCTCCGGCTGGATGACTCTTGATTTAGAGACGAGATTGATGTTGTGAATATGAATGTTTTGTGCTGTGATGGGTTCCTAAAAAAAAAAAAACGCTGACCCTGTCTTTTTCCGTCCTGTCCTCAGTGTGCAGTCTCAGGTGGACGAGGTGATCGACGTGATGCAGGAGAACATCTCCAAGGTGATAGAGAGAGGAGAGCGACTCGACGACCTGCAGGACAAGTCAGGTGAGTCACACTGGGAGGGTTTGTTAGTTTGTGTTTGTCCGCATTGCATATTCTGCGTTCTGCTTGTTTTTTTTTTTTATTTCTGGATTATTTGAACGTGGAGCTAACACATGAAGTGCATTTAACCGTGCACTAGTATCAGAGTTATGATGCGCATGATGTATGCTGCTTAGATTACTCTCATGGAAAACAGAATATAGCTGCATTTAGACATGTGCGTCAGGTCTCTGAACCTTTTTGTTTTTGGTACAGAACACAGAGAGAGGCTGAGATGATGAGAAATCCAGACAAACCTGCTCACAGTATCAAGTCAGATGAGCATGTAACATTTGGTTTCTTATGTTCCAGGTTAAAATAATCCCTCTGATAAGATAAAAACAGAGACATTCATTAATGTGTAAAGCACACGTGGTTTGTACATGACTGACTTGCTGGATTCAAGATTTTTTTTAGGGCCATGTGTTTATGTCAGTGGAAACATTCTGCCATGATCCCGAGGTTTGAAGGATAGGTTTGAATTAAAGTTAATTGAATTTTATTACAAGTAAATCCTATTTAAAGCAGGAAGCTGTCTGCATGAAACATCTGCAGACTGTGATTCCTGCACACAGATGCCGTGCTGTGAGTGGATACGCTTCATTTACAGTCTTCTCAGTCTGTCAAATTAATAAAATGAAAAGAAGTTAGCATTAAACTAGGGCTGCAAAAATGATTTACGGGAGTCAGGGTCAAAAGGAAAAACATGTAAGAAGGTGACTTCTTTAAATGTTTTACTCTGTAATTATAAGATTCAACACACGAGGCAAAGACAATGACCTGATCCAGGGATCTGAGACGCTGAAACTAGCTAATGTTGCAAAAAGTATCACTGTCATGTCATAATTAGCACAAAGAAACAGATAATTATTTTAGTTTTTGGAAAAGCAGCGCTCCAACTCTGATCAGTCCAAGCTAAAAACTTTTTATTACTCTGCTTTCTTTCACCCTTTTTTTTTAAAAATATCTTTAGGCTTCCATGTCTTTTATTTGATAGTGACAGTGGATAGTGTAGGAAACCAGGGAGATCGAGAGAGAGAGAGAGAGAGTGAGAGAGAGAGGGGGGAATGACATGCAGGAAAGGAGCCACAGGTTGCATTTGAACCAGGCCGCTTGCTTTGATGACTATAGCCTCTGTGCATGGGGCAAAACCTTAACACAAGGCATCTGTTCCTCAGTTAAACATCATTTTAATCATTTCATCATTTTAGTAATATATTTTTTGTGTAATTTTCTTTGTTTCTGGTATGTCTTTCAACGCTCTTAATGTCCTAAATATTCTCTTTTTAACTCTGTCAAACTCCTTGAACTGCTATATGTATGAATGGTGCTCTATTAATAAACTTTATTCTCTCATCAGTTCAGCTTTAAATCTCGCAGACACACAGACTGTAACGAATGTCACGTGCAAACATAACAGTTTAAAAGTCAAAACTGTGTTCACAGTGGTGGAGGGCCTCCTTGTTAACATGTTCAGTGAACTATAAACGTGCTCATGAGATGTCCAGGTTTAGTGATTTACCAGGTGTGTGTCTGAAATCAGTCTCAGGGACAGGCTTTGTACCACACACAGGCCCCCTTCTTCTTCTTCAGTTTCTTCACCTTTTTCTCCTTCATCTTCTTCCTTTTTGTGTTCTTCTTCTCGTGTGTGTGTGTGTGTGTGTGTGTGTGTGTGTGTGTGTGTGTGTGTGTGTGTGTGTGTGTGTGTGTGTGTGTGTGTGTGTGTGTGTGTGTGTGTGTGTGTGTGTGTGTGTGTGTGTGTGTGTGTGTGTGTGTGTGTGTGTGTGTGTGTGTGTGTGTGTGTGTGTGTGTGTGTGTGTGTGTGTGTGTGTGTGTGTGTGTGTGTGTGTGTGTGTGTGTGTGTGTGTGTGTGACACTTGTTATTATTTACAGTGGCAGCACTCAGAGTTTGCAGCTACAGACTAGAGCAAGCTGATAGTTACTGGGGATACATTTCTGCTTGTTGTCAGTCACCTGTCATTACCAGCTGATACCTGCTTCATCACACAGAAACGTGTGATGAAGCAGAGACGAGTTTGAAACTAAGTCACCATACACAAAGAAATATCAACTTTTCTGTGTGAAAGTCAGTTAAAAAAAGATTTTAAAAGACTGAATTTACTTCCTTTTTGTACAGTGAATGATCCACAGATCCATTCGACCTTGACCGTGGGAGTCTGATTTCTTACAGAGCATCCAGCAACATCTGGAGTTGCTGTAAGATCACACATAGACACACAGGAGGATTTGAATCAATTTTGTTTGTTTTCTACAGTATAAGTTAAGGTGGAGGGCGTGTGTTGTCAAGGCAGCTGTGTTAACTATAAAACACTGCATGGTAACAGATCATAAGGTGGAATGAAAATAGATCTTTTCTATGCAGATCTTGCAGTGATTTGACTTTGTAAAGTTCCCAGAAAACTGGGACTCTTCTTCTTGTGTTTCGTTGCATCTGCTTCTTCTTTGTTTGTTGTTTAATAGTGGTTAGGGAACAGTTACGAGCATTAACGCCTCCTGTATTGGGGTGTGAATACAGTCATGTGTGTCTTCCTTTTTTTCTCCAAATAGATGTATTCCACGTATGACTGTACGCAAAGAACCTTGACAGTTCAATAAGGATACAAATACACTACATCAACGACAGAAATGTTGGCTGAATGCATAAAATGAAGTTGAATCTTAGTGAAGTGAAAATGTTCTCGGAAACAAGAGTTTGTCGTTGTAATAGTGGCTTTCTTTGATCATATTCCCTCTTAATTTTGACTGGATCACCTCTAGGACTTGTATGAAAGGCTCCCTTTTCCCTGAGTTTATTGGATTTCTCTCTTTCCACATATTTCATTCCCTTCAAAGAAAGGCAGGACGTGATTTTCCTCAAAAACTGTGCATGTGCAGGGCAGTTTTTACTTTTCCCCTCAGAGCAGTGACTCTCCTCACCTGGAGCAGGCAGGTGTTCAACATACATAGCCTGATGTCAAGAGGGATCTCTTTAACAGCTCTACATAAGACCAGGATGATTCTATCTCTCTACAACAGGCAGATCTCTTACAATCATTTCCACATTTGGTGTGGTAGAGGATTAATATAATCTCTGCATTTTGAGGCTTCAAACTTGCAACATTTTACAGACATCACTGCCTGCTTTATATTATTAATCATCTTCTTTTCTTTGACTTTTTTTTATTGCTCTCACCTTTTCTTCTCTCTAATGTGTTTGAACACTTTTATTTTACAACTTTTGTCTCTTCGGTTTTTCAACTGGCCGCGTTGTGTGTGGTTTCCCTTGTCAACGACTGAGTTCCTGATTTGCTTGTTTTTGAGATTTTATTTGTTTGGGTATTGAAGCAGTAAATTCTTGTTTGAAAAGGTGCTTTATATGTAAAGTTCTTCTTCTTCTCGTTCTTCTTCTTCTCCTCACATTTCTTCTTTGGTGCTCCGGTCATGTGACCCTTCAGAGAGCCTATCAGACAATGCATCGGCATTCAGCAGCCGAGCCAAACAGCTGCACAGGAGGATGTGGTGGAGAGACATGAAGGTGAGCCATCTGTCTGTCTGCTTCTGTCTTCTTCATGTGTGTCCTCTATTCGTGTGATAGATATGGTGTTTAATATGCGCTGTTTGTCCCACAGATGAAGATCATAATTGCTCTGGTAGTCGTCGCTCTGCTGCTCATCATCATCAGTGAGTTAAACACCAGACAAACAGAATATACATTTATTTGACTGTGCGTTCCTATAACTGAATTTTCTTTGTCTGGTTCAGTTCCAGTGATCATGCGATACCGCTAGTGTTTGACCAAGAGGACAAGGACATCCCTCCTCTTCCTCATCTCTCTCTCTCCTCTGCACACAGTCCTTCACTCCATCTAGGGGGCGCCAGCCAGCCTCCCACTCCTCCCTCAGTGTCAGCCCCTGTACCCTCCTTAACTTAACTCCTCCTCAGTATAGATCTGATTAATCTGCTGTGAGATCAGTACTAAGGCTCAGTCTGAATCTCCCCTGCAGAAAGGGATCATGGGAAAACTGGGGAGGTGTGTAAATGCAGTTCCGGAGAAAATCGCTGCCTCATGACGGAGGGATTCATTCCATCACCAACCTCACATTTAAGCTCCAGTCTCTGCTGTAAACACAAAAACTCCTCACATAGATATTAACTGTAAACTAGCTGCTCTGTATCTGCAGCACACTCGTATAGAAAATGCTCACACATTCAGCAGATGAACCTCAGATGGTTCCCATGATGCCCTGTGTGCCATCCTCTCAGTGGGGGTGGGGCTTTAAAGGGAACATTTTTTGAACACAAGGTGAGGGAACATCTGGGGGTCATCTGCAGTCTTTGAATCATCCTGATTTCACATGTCAGGTGTGTTTCCTGGTCAGCTCAGATGGTTGGATTTAAGAAAGACTCACCGTCTGCTCTCCGACATTACTCTCCTCCATAAATCTGAGCTCCTTCTGTACAGGCGGGCCATTACACCCAAACATCCAGGTTTAAGAATGTCTCCTCCCCTTCCTGCTGCTCTGTGCCCAGCTCTGGACCTGTTTGGTCACGACTGACGGTTCTGTTTGGTTTTTAAACTGTCTTTAATTCGGCTTCTGTGTTTCTTCACTGTGGTTACTCCTGCTCGCTCGGTGTGATGCTGTGTGGATGCTGCTGTTTAATCTGAAGGGACAGTTTGTCTCTGCACTGTTATGTCTGAGGATGCTGAGCTGTTGAACAAACTTAGTGACATTAATTAACTGTATAAATCTTCATTTTATTATTGAATGTAATTTATTTTAGCTGTAAATATTGACTCTGGAAGGATGTATAATATTCTGACCCTGCATTGGAAGACTGTGAGATCCTTTTTGCTCTGAAATAAAGTGGTTTAAAAGGGTGGCGGTCTGGTTTTGATCTGGTTTGTACTGGTTTAGTATCTGCACGTGAGGAAGGAAAGAAACGCTCAAGGTCAATCAGATGGAACATTTTTGAAGAGGTTGATGGAAAGAACGATTGGAGGTGAGGAGGGAAACTAATGGTCATGCCATCGCAGGTCTCTTAACCACAGCTCTCATTACTCGCCTCTTTTATTGCTCCGTGGTTTCACTGGCCGTGTGGAGTCCCAAGATGGCACTAAAGCTGGACCGAGTGGAGTCAGAGCAGAGTTATTGTTCTGACAGACCTGCTGCTCTCGACCTGCAGGACATTGAAAACACAAATACAGGTTCAGACCTGCTACCATTTTTAATTACGCTATCCATTCCGTTTATTTTGCTCAGATCTGATTGTTTTGTTTGGCTGTTCACGTTGCTTTTTAATTGCGACCTGTATCAGACTCCTTTGATAATTCACATATGAAAGTGGCCCAAATCTGATTTGAAAAGGTCCTATTCAGTGTGACGTGCTGTTCACACTGTCATAAAATCAGATTCAGGTCACTTTCAGCTCACCTGAAAGTTTTGTTGTCTGTGATTTGCTGAACTGGTGTAAGTAAATTAGTCAGAAAACAAAAAGTCAAAGTCCTCTGTTCTGGTTTTTTTTTTTAAATCTGAATATCTTCTGGTTTCTTTTCTCCTTGTGAAATTAAACTGATCATCTTTAGTTTCAGCCAAAACCATAGTCTTTAAATATTACGGCCAAAACCAGCTGTTTTAGACTGAACTCTAAAATGATCAGTGATCCACAGTTTGTCTCCTTCCTGATTTTTAAAAGACCTAAGAACAAATATTTTAAATATGTGCTACACAGCTCTTAGAAACTTTCAAGAAAAGTGATTCTGAAAGTGTTTAACCAAAAACTGTTTGTTTGTTTGTTTTGTTTTTAAAAGACATACCCGCAGTAATGTCACCCAAGTCCCTTTTTTACACCTTGACTTTTTCAGATTTGTATGGGCTGCTGATTGTAAAGTTGTGTGCACGAAAAATATCGGCAACATTTCTCTTCATTTAACTCTAAAACATCCCTAAAAATTGTAATTTTAAAAATTACTTTTTAATCACATTTAGAACAATATTTGGGAACTTTGTCATATTTATTTTTTGTGAATATAAATTTAAGATCATTTTATTGACATATAAATGTTAAATATTATATCTAAATGTAAAAAAATACATGTCCTGATTCAAAATATTTAGCTTTGATCCTATGTATTTTCTATCTTAGCTAAATGTTTAGGATAAAACTAAATTTTTAAAACGTGACAATCACAGGTAACCCTACCCTAACTCCTCCCCTTCTCTCTTGTCTCTTTAACTCTAAATGCAATCATAATTTACTAAATGAACCTCACGCTGTATTGAAATAAACTTGGAACTAGAAATTGACACCATCGAACTCATTGGGAAAATGTTTACTGAGGGAAACAGCCTGACAAAGTTGGAACGTTTTATGAAAAACTTCTATACAATCAGACTATGACGAGTCGTCCCCTGCTGGACATAACAAAGAATACAGGTTTAGGGCCAGCCCAGAAGGTCAACCACAAAAAACTGAGACACAAGCAGCCTCTCTCAAATGTTTTAAAATTTCACATAACAATTATTTTCATTAACTTTTTTTATTTTGCAAACATTTTTTGCTGTTGAACTTCAGTCCACCGCTCTTATGCGCTGACTTCACTTCACAAAGCAGTTGCATCATTATTGTTGCTAAGTTACTGATGTCAGGATGCAGAAAGAATTTCAACAAATATGACAAAAATACTTCTTAATAAGTTTCACAATTTTACTTCAAACAAGAAAACAATGAAGGAAACTGAATGTTAAACATTAGATTTAGATTCCCTAAACAGAGGACAAATAAAAGTCGCTCCAGAGTGTTTGACTTCATTGATCTTTGTCAGATGGCCTCTGAGCTCACACTTTGTTGTCGCTGCTGCTTCTGACGGGACAGATGGCTTTATTTCATCTCGTACACTTGTTTAAATGTCGGCGTGGCTCCAGTAAAAATCTCAGAGTCTTTGTAGTGCTGCTCAGTTGCAGTGAAATCAGAGGTAGTAAAGTTCTGGTTGGACAAGTGGCTGTAAAATATTACGTTTCTGCTCGGCTCTCGCATGTCTGCAGACACAACGCTCACACTCTCTCTGCTAACTGAGTCTCAAGAGAATTCAATCTCTACTTCTTATGCAAAGGAAAATAATAATCATGTCCTCCTCTGAGTGTGTCTGAAGGTGTGTTTGTGAGTGAGGACATTTTTATCCTGCACACATACACTCACAAAAACACACACGCTGGCAGCTCAGGATGTTTTGGTCGTCCGTTAGGGGCTGATGCTGGATGACTTCAGATTCCGGGCATAGCAGCGGTTATGAGTCCAATAAAAGTGAACTAAACTCACACAAGAGATGAGGGCAGACAACATGCCAGCCAGTGTTAGTCTCTCTCTCTTTCTCTCTCAAACACACACAGAGCCGGCCCTAACCATTTTGGTGCCCTAGGCAAGATTTCAGCGGTTGCCCCTTATAGCCTATTGCAGACAGTTTGACCACTAATCACAATATTCATACACTTAAAGAAACCTGGCATACATCTTTATATTTGACATAATTTCTTAATTTTAAAATAAAAAATACTTCTAAACAAACGCGAATAAAATGGTGACAACACTAATATTTCTTATAAATAAATACAAATAACTAGTGTAACAGAACAAACTATATCAAACAGTGCAGGGAGCAGAAGTGGTCACACACAGACGGCCCGGGGACTGCAGGGGATGGATTTAAATGTTTAAGATTGCATCTGGAGAGAGATGAGCATTTGTGAAACACATATCTATTCAGTGTGGACTTCGAGCACAAAATGCATTCATGCTCTTAGACATCAATACTCAAGGCAAAAGCTTAAAACTATTAATAACAACAGGAGGTGGAAAATAAACATTTTAATCGACGAGGGTGAAAGATAACTAAATACAGAGATGTCTATTAATATAAAAGTAGGTTTTGTGTCCCAAACAACATAGGCCTACTATACAAAAGAAGAAGTGTATTACTTATACTGGTTATTTTCTTAAAATGAATAATCTTAACCTAATAAAAGTACAGTGGAAATAACTGATGTTAACTCGAGCTAGGAAACACTGACGTCACTATCATCCATCAGTAACGAGCTATCTTAAATACAACAGATAAATCATTGATCTGTGCAGCACCTTACCTCTGTGTCTTTTCCATATTTTCCTCCTCTTCTTCTTTTTCGTCCCTGGGTTCCCGAGGGCTTTGTTGTTGTTTTTTACATTACGGTCATTTATAAATGTGATATTAATCGGTACACTCAGTGTCACTCACTTCTAATAAGTCACCTGCCCTCCTCCTCCACAACGAGCAGGTAACGAGCAGCGGTGTTGTGATGCGCCGGGTCAAGCAGGAGGCAAGAAAATAGAGCCTTTTTAAATATGTAAAGTAGGCTTAGTTGTGTTTTCATGGCTTCTTTCATAACGTTACTAATTAATAGCTTGAAAATTATATTAAATAAATAATATTTAGTGATATTTAAACACATTTTTCCTTCTATTTCTTCTTATCTTCAACATTTGTGCCTCACACCTGTGGCTCCTTTCCTGCATGTCATTCCCCACTCTCTCTCCCTGATTTCTATCCATTGTCCTATCTCTCCATTAAAGGCCCAAAAAGCCCAAAAACACATCTTAAAAAAAAGAAGAAACTTCATGTATGTCTGAAATTTTCAGGAGTGCATGTATGAAAACAGCTATGTAAAAAAAAAACCAATTCGATTAAAGAATACCTGTTCAAACAAACACCCGGTGTCCCATCACCAGGGCCATCTTCAGACATGTTGGGCCTCATGGGCCGATCTCACATTGGGCCCCTCCCCCACAGCCTCAGCCAATCCTCAGATGTTATAACAATAACCAAACCTCCATTACACAAATGACTCATTAAAAGATTTCAATTAATGTCTGCAACATTTTACTCCTTCGATAATGTTTGATACCACACATTTTAAAAAGATACAAACTTTGCT